CTATATATGACAAATCCATTGCCAGCATCACACTCATTGGACAAAAATTACAAGCAATCCCCTTAAGATCAAGAATAAGATAGGGATGTCCACTTTCCCCTCTCAGATTCAACATAGTACTGGAAGTCATAGCCACAGCAATCAAACAAGAAGAAATAATATGCATCCAAATTGGAAAGATGTAAAACTGTCATTATTTGCCAATGGTATGGCACTATAAAGAGAACTCTAAAGACTCCACCAAAAACTACTAAAACTAATAAGTTCAGTAAAGCAGAAGATAGAATATTCAGAAATCAGTTGTATTTGGACTTCTGCCAAGATGGAGGCGTAGGTGGAAACACTTTGTGTCTTCGCACAACCAAACCTAAAAATAATAAGGTTTTAACAATAATAAATGCAACCAAACCACACAGAAAATTGACAACATGGAGTCCAAAAACAACAAACCACTCAGCTGAACCAGTGAGAGGGGCAAAGCCAGCAGCAGAGCAGGTCGGGCAGGGAAGATCCCCCGATGCCTTGGTGTGCAGGCAGCCAAGGGCGCGGATCCCAGGTGCAGGCTAGCTATGGGTGGAACCCAGGGAAGAGGTGCTGCTGGCTGTCTGCAGTCGGTCAAGTATTTGCATGCCAATAAACAAGTGAAGAGGAGAGCGTTGAGACCACTCAGCGCAGGGCTGCGGGCTCGCACATTTGCGCTCAGATAAACAGGCAGGGGATGAGCAGTGAGGTGAACTGGGCGAGCTGAGAGGACCGCCATTGCTCCCTCTCTGACCCTGCCCCCATATACAGTGTCATAAACCAGCCACCTGGGTGGCCCCGCCATGGTGAATGCCTAAGGCTCCCCTCCTCATATGTAACAGGCATGAACAGATCAAAACATGGCTCAAGAAGAACTCAGAGCCCCAGAGCTAATAAATTTAAGCAATGAAGAAATAGCAAAACTATCAGATGCACAGTTCAAAACACTGGTGATCAGGATGCTCACAGAACTGGTTGATTTTAGTCACAAATTACAGGAACATATGAAGGCTAAACTAATTGAAATGAATGGTAATGCACAGGAAACCAATAGTAATGGAAAGGAAACTGGGACTCATATCAAGGGAGTAGACCAGAAGAAAGGAAAAAATGACCAAACAGAAAAATATGAAGAAACAAGAATCCAAAAAAAAAATGAGGAGAGGCTTAGGATCCTCCAGGACATTTTTAAACGCTCCAACATCTGAATTATAGGAATACCAGAAGGGGAAGAGGAACAGTCACGAGTGGAAACCTTATTTGAACAAATAATAAAAGAGAACTTCCCCATTCTGGCAAAGCAAATAGATTTCCAAGAAATCCAGGAAGCTCAGAGAGTCCCAAAGAAGTTGGACCCAAGAAGGAACACACCAACACACATCATAATTACATTAGCCAAGATTAAAATGAAGGAGAGAATCCTAGAAGCAGCAAGAGATAAGGGGACAGTCACCTACAAAGGAGTTCCCATCAGACTGTCAGTGGATTTCTCAAAAGAGACCTTACAGGCAAGAAGGGGCTGGAAAGAAGTATTCCAAGTCATGAAATCCAAAGACCTACAACCAAGATTGCTCTATCCAGCAAAGCTTTCATTAAAAATGGAAGGACAGATAAAGTGCTTCTCAGATAAGATCAAATTCAAGGAGTTCATCATCACCAAGCCCTTATTATATGAAATGTTAAAGGGACTTATCTAAGAAAAAGAAGATAAAAAAGATGAACAGTGAAAGGACAGCAAACTCACAGTTATCAACAACCACACCTAAAACAAAAGCAAATTAAGAGGACAGCTGGATCAGGAGCAGAATCATAGAAATGAAGATTTCATGGAGGGTTATCAACAGGGGAGTGGGGAATTGAGAAGGGGGGAGAAGGTACAGAAAATAAGTAGCATAGACAGTAGATAGAAAATAGATAGGGGGAAGGTAAGAATAGTAGGGGAAATATAGAATCTAAAGAACTTGAAACATGTGTTCATGAACTAAAGGGGGGATGGTGAGGGAGGGGTGTGCAGGGTGGAGGGGAACGGAGGGGGAAATAGAAGCAATGTAATGGCATAATCAATAAAATAAAAAATACATAAAAAAGAAATCAGTTGTATTTTTGTACATCAATAAATAGCTATTAGAAAGAAAAACTAAGAAAACCATCCTATTACAATTACATTAAAAAATACTTAGCAATGAATTTAACCAAAGAGGTATTCTTCTAGACCTGGGAGAACTATAAGATATTGAAAAAAATTGTAGAATATACAAATAAATGGAAGCATATACAGTGGCTCATGGATAGGAAGAATTATCATTAAATGACCATGCTACCCAGAGCAAACACAGATTCAACACAATAGGTATCAAAATATCAATGGCATTTTTCACAGAACTAGAGCAAATAATCCAAAACTTTATATGGATCCACAAAAGACCACAAACAGCCACGACAATCTTGTAAAACTGAACAGTTACATGCACAAAATGAAACTAGACCACTTTCTTATATGATCAATAAGAATAAATTCACATGAGGCGGGGGGGCTGGGATGGGAGAAATACACACAAAAAAATGTACTTGAAAAATAACTAAATAAAATTTAAAAAATAAGAATTCAAAATGCATTAAATATTTACATATAAGACATGGAATCATAAAACTTCTAGAAGAAAACATAGGCAGTACAATCTCTGACATTGCTCTTAGTAATATTTTTCTGATATATCTCTTCAAACAAGGAAAACAAAAGAAAATATAAACAAATATGACTACATTAAACTAAAAAGATTTTTTACAGCAAAGGAAACCATCAACAAAACAAAAGACAACCTATTGAATGGGAGAAGATATTCAGCAATGATACATTTGATAAGAGGTTAATATTCAAAATTCACAAAGAACTCATACAACTCAAACCAAAAAAAACCCCAACAATTTATTTTTAAAAATGGGCAGAGAACCTGAACAGACATTCCTCCAAAGAGGACATACAGATGGCCAATAAGCATATGAAAAGATGCTAAACACCACTAATCATCAGAAAAATGCAAATTAAAACCACAACAAGAGACCACTTCACACCTGTCAAAATGGATAGCATCAGTAGATCAACAAATAAGTGTTGTCATGCACTGTTGGGACTGCAAACAGTTATAGCCACTATCAAAAACAGTATGAACATTCCTCAAAAAATTAATAGAACTACCTTATAACCCAGCTATTCCACTTTTGAGTATTTTTAGAAATTGAAAACACTAATTTAAAAAGATATGTGCAAACTTATGTTAACTGTACTATTATTTACAAAAACCAACATATGGAAGCAACCCAAATGTCCATTAGTAGATGGTTCAATAAAGAAGTGGCACATATATACAATGAAATATTACCAGGCCGTAAGAAAGAACAAACTTGTACCATTTGCAACAGCATGGATTAACCTAGGGAGTATTATGCTAAGTGAAATAAGTCAGACAGGGAAAGAGAAATAACATATGACATTACTTATATGTGGAATCAAATGAACAAAACAGGCAAAACAGAAACAGAGTCATAAATACAGGGAACAAACTGAGGGTTGCCAGATGGGAGCAAGGTTTGGCAGGGGGCGGGTGCGGGGAAGAAAAGGTGAAGGGATTCCAAAGTACGAATTAGTAGTTACAAAAAAGTCATGGGGATGTAAGTTTAGCATGGTATTATAATCAATAATATTGTAGTGATTATGTATAGTGCCAGGTGGGTACTAGAATTATTAGGAAGATCACTTTGTAGATTATATAATTATGTAATGACTATGCTATGCACCTGAAACTAATGTAAAATAATATTAAATGTCAACTGTAATTGAAAAACAAAGTAAAATAAAATATACCACATTTTTAACAATAACAAAATATATAGTATTTATATATAATGGCATATTACCGGCCATAAAAAAGACTGAAATCTTATTTGTAAAAACACGGGTGAGCCTAAAATGTATTATGCTAAGGCATAAGACAGAAAAAGGAAAATGCTATATGATTTCACTTATATGTGAAATTTAAAACAAAACAAAACAAAACAAATGAATACACAAAACAAACCAGAAACAACCATAGATCAAGAGAACAAGCTGATGGTTTCTGAAGAGGAAAAGGGTGGGGGGAAGGTGAAACAAAATCCTCATAAAAACAGTACTTTGTGTGCTATAACACAATGCTAAATAAGTATGTGTAGAGAAATAATAATAGAATACCCACGAAGAAGATAAAAAACAAATAGAGGACCTGTATAATATTATATATTATATTAACATACAGCAGAATACGATTTTCCTCAAGTGCACATGGTATAATCTCCAGGATAGATCATATATTAGGCCAGAAAACAAGTCTTCATGAACTTCAGAGTGAAATTATACAACGTATCTATTCTGATAACAAAGAAATAAAATTTGAAGTCAATAGAAAGAAAGTTAAAATCCTGAAACATATGCAAATTAAAACAACATACTCTTAACCTTTGGCTCAATGATGAAATCACTAGGAGAAATGGAAAATATTATGAGACAAATGAAAATGAAAACAGATGCCCACATCTATGGGATTCAGTAAAAGCAGTGCTGATTGAGTAATTCATAGCAGTAAATGCTTATATTTTTTTAAAAAGAACAATTTAAAGGAACTTTAAAAGAAGAAGAAAGTAAACCCAAAGCTAGCAGGGGGATAAAACAATAAAAATTAGAACAGAGATTTAAAAAATGATAATAAAACTAACATAAAAAATCAATGAAATAAAGAGTTGGTTATTCAAAAACATTAACAAACTTGACAAAACTTTAGCTATAGTAACTAAAGAGACTAACATCAGAAATCAAAGAGAGGACATTACAAGAAACTTTACAAATATAAAAAGGATAAGAGAGGACTATAAGCAAATTGTACGCCAAATTCCTAGAAACACACAGTCCCCCTCAAATGCTTCCGAACAATTGAAGAGGAGGGAACATGTCCAAACTCACTGTATGACATCAGCATCATACTGCTACCAAACCCTGACAAGCACAGTACAAGAGAAGAATACTGCAGACAAATATCCCTGATAAAAATTACAGCTAAAATCCTCAAGAAAATACTAGCTGACAGAATTTAACAGCACATTTAAAAGATTATACACCATGACCAAAGGGGAGTGATTTCTGGAATGCAAGGATGGCTCACACACAAATAGTAATCAGTGTAACAGAATTAACAGAATGAAGGGGAAAGGACTCTCATCACCTCAACTGATGCATAAAAGACATTTGGCAAAATTTAACACCTTTTAATGACATAAACACTCAACAGACAGGACATAAAAGTTAACTACCTCAACATAATAAAGGCCATGCTAACAAGCCCACAGCTAACATCAAACTCATTGGTGAAAGACAAAGGTTTCACTCTAAGCTTGGTAACAAGACAAGGGGGGGCTACTTTCATCACTTCCATTCAACATAGTTCTGGAAGTCCTAGTTAGAGTAATTAGGCAAGAAAAAAGAAAATTCATTCAAATTGGAAAGGAAAAAGTGAAATTATATCTGTTCAAAGACAGTATTTTATATGTAGAAAATGCTAAGTATTCCACACCGAAATATCTTAGAACTGGTAATATAGTGAAGTTCCAGGATACAAAATCAACACACAAGAATAAGCTACCTCTTTATTCATTCACAATGAAAAATTCAAAAAGGAAATAAAGAAAATAATTGTATCTACAATAGCATCAAAATGAACCAAATACCTAGGAATAAACTTAACTAAGGAATTAAAAAGCTTGTACACCAAGCTCTACCAGCAGCATTTGGTGCTGTCTCACAGGAAGTTCTCCACTCCCAGGCATGGGTCCCTGGGCTTCCTGCCTCAAAAGCACCCCAGCGGACACCATAGGAATGTGAAGAGCTTCCCCAAGGATGACTCCTCCAAACCTGTCTGCCTCACAGCTTTCCTGGGCTACAAGGCTGGCATGACCCACACCGTGCGTGAGGTAGATAGGCCAAGATCCAAGGTGAACAAGGAGGAAGTTGTGAGAGCTGTGACCATTGTGGAGACACCATCCATGGTGATTGTGGGCCTTGCAAGCTACATAGAGGCTCCTTAGGGCCTCCACACCTTCAAAACCATCTTTGCCGAGCACATCAGTGATGAATACAAGAGGTGCTTCTATAAGAACTGGCATAAATCTAAGAAGGCCTTCAGCAAGTCCTGCAAGAAGTGGCAGGATGATGATGGCAAGAAGCAGCTGGAGAAGGCCTTCAGCAGCATGAAGTACCGCCAGGTCAACCACATCATCGCCCACACTCCTGCTTCCTCTGCACCAGAAGGCGGCTCATCTCGTGGAGATCCAGATGAATGGAGGCAAACTGGGCTGCGCCCCTCGGAGGCTGGAGCAGCAGGTCCCTGTGAGCCAGGGGTTTGGACAGGACGAGCTGACTGATGTCACTGGGGTGATCAAGGGCAAAGGCTACAAAGGGGTCACCAGCTGCTGGCACACCAAGAAGCTGGCCCACAAGACCCACCAAGGGCTGTGCAAGGTGGCCCGTATGGGGGCGTGGCATCCTGCCTGGGTGGCCTTCTCTGTGGTCTGGTCTGGGCAGAAAGGCTACCACCACTGCACTGAAATCAACAAGAAGATCTGCAAGATCAGCCAGGGCTACCTCGCCAAGGATGGCAAACTGATCAAGAACAATGCCTCCACTGATTACAGTCTGTCTGACAAGAGCATCCACCCTCTGGGTGGCTTTGTGCACTATGGTGAAGTGATCAATGACTTTGTCATGCTGAAAGGCTGTGATTGGGAATCAACAAGCAAGTGCTCACCCTCTGCAAGTCCTTGCTGGTGCAAACCAAATGGCGGGCCCTGGAGAAGATCCACCTGAAGTTGATGGACACCACCTCCAAGTTTGACCACAGCTGCTTCCAGGTGATGGAGGAAAAGAGAGCGTTCATGGGACCACTTAAGGAACACTGAATTGTGAAGAAAGAAGGGACCTAACATCAGGAGCAAATTGTGCAGCTGGTGGGATCTCAATAAAAATTATTTTCCAGTGCCAGGGGGTGGGGGAGAAACTTGTACACCAAAACCCAGAAATCATTGCTAAAATTTTTATAAAGACACCAACACATGAAAAGGTATCCTGTGCTCATGGATTCAAAGGCTAAATGGTGTTAAAATGTTAATACTACCTAAACCAACCCACAGATTTAATACAATCTCTAACATAATCTCAATGACATTTTCGGCAGATTTAGGAAATTTATCCCAAATTCATATGAATCTCAAGGAACCCCAAATAGCCAAAACAATCTTGAAAAAGAGCAAAGTTAGACTTCAAAACTTAACTGTAAAGGTATAGCAATCTGTGTGGTACTGACAAAAAGACATTAAAACTATTTATATTACACCCTGAGTCAGATAATTCAACACCAGAACACCCTCCGCATCTAATTTTGTTTTTTATTGTTTTGGCTAACATTGCCACACACGATGATTTGTTCCCCCCTGTATTTTGAAATTTTGAACTGTGAAGTCATATTTGGAGTTTAAGGTGTAAGAATCTTGCAGAGCCTGAGAAAGGACATACACCTCCCGGAGGATGTGTTTGCTCTTGGCAGGTCCTCTCCTTTTTGCCCTGAGGGGTTGGGGGTCAGGGGTCCTCTTAAACACAATCTACTTTAATTCCTCAGACAAAGGTTTCCTAGACATTCAGGTAATATAAACTCAAATCCCAAGCCCAGCATAGGAAGGCCTTGTTTATATCAGGGAAGACTTTTTTTTTTTATCCTGGAGCTAAAGCCATGATACAAGCAGGTGTCCTTGCTCTTTCTCTTTGACAGCAGAGATTTCTTTTCTGGTCCATTCTTTTATTCACAACATACACCTTGAGGTCCTGGCTGTGGGGGAGTCTCTAAGTTCCATTCCCCATCCTGTGTGAGTCTAAAGCCTCATCTTCTGTCTCCTACTCAACATTAAAGTGAAAGCCTCTTGGTTTTAGAAATGATAGATGTTCCCTGGGAAGTCAGTGCGTCAGGATGAATTGCCACACAGGTTTCCAGCTCTCTCTTGGTTTATGGCCCCTAGAGATTTCTCCTATATTCTTAGAGTTTGGCTATATATTTAAAGGATGTTTGTTATATTTTATCTAGCATTTGTAGGGGTTTTGCATTAGGATATGTAAGCCTTTTCAGCTATCGAGTCTACAACATTGCAAAATGTATGTGTACTGTTGGAATAAGGAAAAAATTAGTTTTCTTTCTCCTTAAAAAAAGAACACGAAAACATGGAGGAGTCTCCGATCAGGGTTCACTATTGCAAAACCTTTATCAGGTGTCTAACTCCCAGGTTCATTTCTGTTGTCACTTGTTCCCCAAGTTGCTCTCCTAGTGAACTGCTTAAAATGAGATACAGGTCCATGGGGCCCTGCTTTTGGGCATGAAGGTGGGACAGATGGGGAGCTCCGTCTGGCTTAGAATCTAGACGTAAAAAAGGAAAAACTCCAAGGACTAGATCAGGGCAGGGGCAGATTGTGAGAAGAGAAAAACAAAATCATGCTGAACCCCTAAGGCCTGTAGTCAGAAAAAAAAAAAACACAAGAAACTCACAAGGTGTGGCATTCTTGTGTAGGGCCTTCTTCACTGGACCACGGCGAGACGCAAAGGAGACAGGAGAAAATGCGGCACGGAGCCCTTGGCACACGGTAAACATTCAGTTAGTGGCGGCTGTGACCAACATGCATCCATTCTTTTAGAGCAGGGACTCACCAGTTGAAAATATAGAAATATTCAGGCAACGGGGGAGTGCCGCGGTCCAGCCACAGCGGGTCTAAGGGTACCCTCGAGGTGAAGGTAGGAGTCGGCGCGGAAATCAGGCAACTACGCAGCTCAAGGCAGGTGATGCTCTGAAGACCTTTATTGAAAGTAAGGCTGAAGCTTTTATACTATTCTAGCTGGTAAGCGATTTCAGCTGGCAAGCGATTTCGGATTCATTGGCTTTTGCAGTTACTGTTACTATGCTTCTTGGTCTGAACAGGAACTTGACTGTCTGCCTTGGTTAGGCTGTCACAGGGGGCCTATTCTGCATTTTAGATATGTCTAAAATTGACTCGGGGGGTAAACATGCCCTCCATGCCACCTCCACCAGGTTGGAAAATGCTTCTTTGAAGTCTTGGACCTCCCCTCCTGACTTTGTCAAGGAAGGGATCCAACTGTGGACGTGGCAGGGGAGAATTCTTCAGCACCCCTACCTCAGCTTACTCTTACCTTGCCTATTTATGAATTGTGTGTACCCAGATTACCTCTAAGGTTCAGTAAGGACTACATTTGTAGATAAATAAGATTCATGTTATAATCTTGCCAGGAAAGAAAACAACTCACAGAGAATTGAAATAACTGGCACCAAAGCCACCTGTTTGTCCATCCCTCAGCCAGAAATGAAACTCAGGTTTGTCAGGCTTTGCACCTGTCCCTTTATTTCTCCCCTGTCCCCATAGCTCTCCTGCACCATCACCAGGGTAACAGGAAGTGTGGAAAACTTTCCCAGAGGAGAGAACATGACAGAGAACATTTGTGGACTTTCCTGGGTTTGGGATGGTTTACAACTCCCTCTGCACAAAGTGAATGCTGTGCATCTCAAAGGCAGCAGGTCAACGCAGTTTTTTAAAATTCATAAAATTAATATACATTAAGAAAAACCACAGCAAAGAAAATCAAAGAAAATTTTCTTAAACAAGGCTTTAATAATCTGTGGCCTCTGGGCCAAATCTGGGGAACCACCGGCTTTTGTAAATAAAGTTTTATTTGGGACACAACCCCGGCCATTTACTTGTGTATCATCTATGGCTGCTTCATACTACAGTGGCAGAGTTGAGTAGCTGTGACAGAAACCACGCGACTCGAAAGCCTAAAACAAGTGTTTTACAGAAATCAGTTTGCTGATCCCTGTCAAAACTCTCTATTTCAGTCTTGTTGTCTAATCATGATCCAGGGTGACCAAAGATAATGAAAATGTCCATTTTCCTCACTATTTTGAGGGAGACATTCCTGCTTTTATTTTCTTCCTCTCTTCCACTATCCTGTTATACTATTCACTATATCTCTAGCTGTGGTTTTCTCATTTCTAAAAGAAAATGTATGTAGTATTATTGTGAGAATTGCAGGAGGCAGGATAGAGTGCTTCATGTAGATGATGGCTGTGATCAAAACCCATCTGTTCATTTTGCACATACTTATTGAGTCTGTTATGGGTCAAATTGTGCCCTCTTCCCAATTCCTATGTGGAATTAGTAACTCTTAGCACCTGAGAACATGACCTTATTTGGAGATTGGACCTTCACAGAAGTAATTGAGTTAAAATGAGGTCATTAGGGTGGAATTTGGATACAGACACAAAGTAAAGATGAGTGAAGACACGGGGAGAAGATGACCAGCTACAAGCCAAGGAGAGAGGCCTGGAACAGCTCCTTCCTTCACAGCCCTGAGAAGGTGCCAATCTTATTTCAGACTCTAAACTAGGAGACAGTAAGTTTATGTTGTTTAAGGGTTATGGCCTGAGTATGCCCCACCTCCCAATTTGCATGTTGAACTCCTATACCCCAAGGTGATGGCATTTGGAGATGGGACCTTTGGGAGGTGATAAGGTCATGAGAGTAGAGCTTCCGTGATGGAATCAGCGCTCTCATAAAGAGTGGTACAAGAGAGTTGTCCTCCTCTCCCTCCCTGTCATGTGAGGACACAGCAGGAAGGCGACCAACCGCAAACCAGGAAGAAGGTTCCTGCCAGGAACTGAATCGACAGGCACCTAGACCTGGGACTTCCCAGCCTCCAGAGTAGTGAGAAATAGATTTCTGTTGCTTCAGCCACCCACTCTATGGTGTTTTTGTTATGGCAGCTTGAAATGACCAGACATTAAGCCACCGAGTCTGTGCTACTTTGTGGCAGCATCCCTAGCACCATGATACAGATTTCTCTGAGAAGAAAACCAAATATAAAGCGATAGGAACTAGGAGATGCCACTGTGGATAAGTACCTCATCTCTGGTATATAGCATTTGTTCTGAGACCTGAATAGTTACAAGGAGCAGACCATATGGGAATCTGAGGAAAACTCATTCTTAGAAGAAGTAATGAGTGCAAAGGCCCTGAAGCAGGAATAATTTTGCTTTTACAGCTTTCACTTCTACCTTTTTCTTATCTTGCACATAGATGATACCGATTGTGATGCCTGTTGCTGTAAGAGCTGTCTCAGGACCATGAGGCACCAATCTTAAGGTCACATGCCCAGCAAAGGACGGCAGAGAAAAAGAAAAGCATCTGAGCACTTCAGGAAATCATTTCAAAACTGCACCAACACCACCAACTACTACTCAGGATTTCTCGTTCTCGGAGAAAAATTAATCCCTTTCGCCTAAGGCACCATTAGTTTTTCCATTACTTGGTGCCAAAAATACTCTTAAACAGACGTAACATTTCACAGTGTGGTAAGAATTACTAGACTTTGAAGGTTTTTAATCTAAGGAATGACAAAATCTGATTTAAGTTTTTTAAAGAACATTCTGTAGAATTAAGACTTGTAGAAAATGTGGCCACAGAATTCAGGAACAGATCTTGTAAGGATTTGCAGGTCATGATAAGCTCAAATTTTATTCTAAACAAGAGGAAGCTACTATAGGATGTGTCAAATCTGATTTGTATTTTCATAGGACTCTTTGGTTGCAGAGTCAGGGCATCTATTAAAAGGCAAATGTAGAAGCCAAGAAAAATAGGATGGTGGGTTGATGAGGTAACATCAGTAAATACAGAGAAAATTAGGAGAAACAATGTTCTGGGCATGACTAGGAAAGGGCCTGTCAGACAGCTCTCAGTCACCCAGATGAAGGGTAAAGGCTGATGGCCCCTGATGGATTTGGGAAACATTTGGGAGAGAGGGAAAGAATTGAAAATAACTTATTTTTTGACTGAGTAACTAGGTAGGTGG